GGAAACCCAAGGAAGGGTCGCTATGAGTTGGGGCCAACTCGATGGCAAATAACAACAACATATCCTTCATTAAGGATTGCACATCAACATAAAGAAAGCATAAATCCTTATAGGTGGACCAATAAGCAGCATCATGATTAACAGAGAAAAAGACTGAGGTTGTCAAGGATTTCATTTTACTTGGGTTCACAATCAATACCCATGGAAGCAGCAGTCAAGAAATCAAACTATATAGTGCATTGGCAAATCAGTTGCAAAAGACCTCTTCATAGTGTTAAAAAGCAAAGATGGCACTTTGAGGACTAAGGTGAGTCTGACCCAAGCCATGGTATTTTCAATCACTTCAAATGCATGTGAAAGCTGGGCAATGAATAAGGAAGACTGAAGAAGAAGTCATGCTTTTCAATTATGGTGTTGGTGAAGAAGAATGAATATACCATGAACTGCCAGAAAAACTAATAAATATGTTTTGGAAGAACAACCATAATGCTTCTTAGAAGTGAAGATAGTGAGACTTCATGTCACATACTTTAGACACGTTATCAGGAGGAACCCATTCCTGGAAAAGGAAATTATGCTTGGTATAATAAATTAAACTTGGTCAGTGAAAAAGAGGAAGACCCTCAATGAGATGGATTGACACAATGGCTGCAACAATGGGTTTAAACATAGCAACAACTGGATGGCCCAGGACTAGGTAGTGTTTCATTCACAGAACCGAATTGACAGAACCCGACAACAACAACATTTTAATCTCAAAGAATTGGCCAGTGAAAACCTTACGAATAGCAGTGAGACACTGTCTGATATACTATTAGCACCAGCCAGTAATAATTATGGATACAAAATATTGTAGTTCTCATTAAGACCTCTTGGTAGTCAACATTTTATTCTCCCACTATCCTAGTCTTCAAAATGCACCAAAACATCTACTTCAAAGAACATGAAGAATATATCGTAGGAAAATAATCTGGCAGTTCCTCAAAAAATTGAATATAGAATTACTACATGATCCAGCAATCCAAATCCTAGGTATATACACAAAATAACTGAAAGCAGGAAGACCAACAGAAACCTGTACACTAATGTTCTTTGTAGCACTATTCACAACAGTCAAAATGTGAAAACAATTTAAATGTCCATAATCAGATGAAAATTAAAGTACTGATACAAGCTACAATACAGATGAACCTTGAAAATACCATGGTGAGTGAAACAGGTAAGACACAAAAGGACAAATACTGTATGATCCCACTTACCCAAAATAGGCATAAAGAAATTAAAGCTTATTAGTGGTTACTAGGGCTGGAAGAGAAGGGAACAGCAGAAGCTACTGTGTAGACAGTATGGAGTTTATATTAATGACGGTGGAATAGTTCAGAAAAAGATTGTGATAATTGTTGCAAGACATGAAGAATGTACTCAATGTTACTGAATAATACATGTAAAAATTGTTGAATTGGCAAATGTTTTGTCATATATATTTTTATCACAGTTAAAAAATAATATAGAAAAATATTTATGAAGGGAAAACATCTATTTAGTGCATAAAGTTCTTACAAGTCCAATGTGAACCCATCTTGGTAAAAGAACATGTATAAATAAATGTGTGTGTATGTCTGTGTGTACAGTGAGAGAGAACAGGGCATGGGACACAAAGATGTATGGCCTAGGATATATAGCAATACATAAACTGTGCAGTAATTTTTTTAAACTTATTTATGTATTCTAAATATTCAGTAACAAACATATTCAAATGAAAAAGAGGTTAGAAAAAGAATATATTGTCACTTGCATCCATAATTGGTAGGACTATAAAATGGTACAGCTACTGTTGAAAACAGTTTGGCAGTTCCTCAAAAAGTTAAACACAGAAT